TGTATGTTTAGACGCGAGTGTTTTGTTATGTTCAATTATCCATGTTTGTGAGACACAATATGCAGTAAAAAGAACAACTTACATGTGTATATGTTTGTCCATGTGTGTATATGCATAATGATGTGTGCATACCTAGGTGTATCCATGTACGAATTTGCAACGTCGTTAAGTGTTCACGTGTATTTGTGCACATGGTTATGGATGTATGACAGCGTGTGTGGGTATATATATAAGAATGTGTGCTGGTTTGTGCCTATATGTTTGTATGCACAGTGTACATCTACTGTGTTGGTGTGTGCATATGTGTATGTATATGTGTATTCGTGTGTCTCTGTTTGTGCGTGCGTATGTATATTCGGTGCGTATTTGTACGTGTATTGTGCATGTGTATTTGTTTATTTGTGTATGTGTTTCTTTTGTTTATGTTTATGTGCATGTTGTGTGTGTGTGTGTGTGTGTGTGTGTGTGTGTGTGTTGTGTGTGTGTGTGTGTGTGTGTGTGTGTGTGTGTGTGTGTGTGTGTGTGTGTGTGTGTGTGTGTGTGTGTGTGTGTGTGTGTGTGTGTGTGTGTGTGTGTGTGTGTGGGTGTGTGTGTGTGTGTGTGTGTGTGTGTGTGTGTGTGTGTGTGTGTGTGTGTGTGGTGTGTGTGTGTGTGTGTGTGTGTGTGTGTGTGTGTGTGTGTGTGTGTGTGTGTGTGTGTGTGTGTGTGTGTGTGTTGTGTGTGTGTGTGTGTGTGTGTGTGTGTGTGTGTGTGTGTGTGTGTGTGTGTGTGTGTGTGTGTGTGTGTGTGTGTGTGTGTGTGTGTGTGTGTGTTGTGTGTGTGTGTGTGTGTGTGTGTGTGTGTGTGTGTTGTGTGTGTGTGTGTGGTGTGTGTGTGTGTGTGTGTGTGTGTGTGTGTGTGTGTGTGTACGTGTATGCATACGCGCATGGCGTGTTTGTGTTTATATGTATGTGTGTATGCGCAGGCGTATTTGTGTATGTGTAATTTCATGTCTGTATGGGCGCGCTTGTGTGCTTAAGTCTTTGAAATATCGTTAACAAATTCGAATTCTGAAGCTCATTACAAGGGGATGGTCATGAAGCTTTGGGTTACTGAAGACGAATGTACTTTGCGCGATTACTTTGTACTTTAGTTTTTTTTTCACCCTTTTAATTACAGATGTCTAGAGACGAGAATTCAAAAAAAAAACAGAAACAATTAATTATTAATTAAAGCATATATTATCTTGAAAAATTCTTTTTTTCTTCTTCGCTTTCATCATGAAAAAGTGGTATCAGCTAAAGTGGTATTCAACCGATTAGTAGTCATATGACAGCTTGGAATAGCCACGCACTATATACATACATCTATGCACAAAGTGGTTCAATTTTGGGCCTTCTCTAGAAAAATATCTTTAGGTTTTCTGAAAAAAATCTTTATTCACGAATTTCCGATCTTGTTATTCAATTTGTTCCCATAACTGAAATAGTATAACGATGTGAGGACATTTGGATTTTGTTCACGTAAAAATGGGCTTGCAAGCATTTTTGAGAATCCAAACACCAAGGCAGGACTTCTTTTGGAAAAAAAGGAAAAAGAACGTTGAAATGAAAGCTATTTATTTCAATTCACCCTCGAATTAACGAGGACAAATGGGTGCGTTGATTTTCATTCACCAAACCGCTTCATTGAGGAGAAAACGCTGTAGTAATACCAAGTCAGGTAGAAGAATTATGGATAGAAATCAATTTACGCCACTCAAATCTTTCCTGCAATTCTGCATGATCCTCTATCACTTCTTTTCGTCTCGTTTTCACATTGAAATAAATAAGTAGAAGAGAGATTAATTTGCCTAATGACAGTTGTGTAGTCGTCATCCTCAAATAAAACCAATAGTAAATAAAGTTATATGGTTTTCATATCACATACTTTTTTCAGTTTGTGGAGTAGATGAAGTTATTTCTTTTGATAAATATAGCAATAGCCTTTGAGATACGATAAGTCCACTTTGAGAAGATATCAGGTGAAAAGTTGACACATACTAAAGACGTGTAATGAAAGAAATAGCTTTGTATATATTTTGAATATTTTTGAAGTTTAAAATTACTCCTACTATCTCTGCACTGATACAATTACATCATCCAGTTTACACACAAACGTAGGTGGTGTTTAAGCGTTAGAAGCTCTTATTTCAAATAAACTACATTTATATTTCCACATGTCTCTAAATTTAAACGAAAAATGGGTTTCCGTTCGACACCCAGTGCTATGAGTAAGCCTTTATCAGGAAAAGCTGTCATTCTGAAAGGAATTCACTTAGAAAGAACGTACCTCCATACGTTTTAGCTATAATCTGTGAGACGTTAGATAAAATTATGGCACCTTCAGATATAGGCACTGTCATCTCAGAGTTCTACAAGAAATGAAAAGCTACTCAAATCTGAACAAAGTACTAACGCTTCGCAAATGTGATTCGCGCAGTTGGATGATTGAAGTAATGCAGCATGGTTAATTTAGTATAGTAGGTTTCTCCTAACGAGACAACATAGTCGGGCATTCAAAATGCCGCCTTAGTATAAAGGCAAAGGGAAGAAGAATTTGTCGTACCTATCGGTTCCATAACTTTACAATCGCACTGACTGCACTGATTTCATTCGAAGCCTAGCAAAAATAGTCAATATGTCAGGCGACGATCAGTGGGCAGAGTGTTAGGAAAATTAATGTGGGATAAGTTGCCTCATTCACAGGAAGCGAGGACAACAGGAAACGATTTCTCAAAACCAAGAGTCCCGATGTGCCGGTAATATTGAAGCATTGCCCGTCAGCGACAGATTTCAAGAACTAAATTTGTCCATTGATTCTTAATTTTCTTGAAAGTCAAGACATGACGAAACCGAAAGTAGATTTTCAGATCTTGGTAGTTGTCCCAGTTTTAGATCTTCAATTTGGCTTGTGTTTCAAAACTTACCACTGAATTCTGGCACCCTCGTAATAGAATTAACAAATGAATCAAAGCACCCATCATTTCTTGAGCTAGCAGTGATAAAAAGCTGCTATGAGAAAAGTCTTCCAATCATTCTATCAAATCTTTTCTTTTTCAAGATTATTTCCGAGCGCTTCTGACATCTCATCAATTTGAAGACTTCGAGTATGCTTTCGTTTGAATGATAATAGACAGAGAGTCTGGAAATTGAAGTCGCTATAGGATGGTGTAATGCGATTTTGCAGAAATAATGCGCTCAGTTAACTAACTTCGCTGACATACTCATTCTATATCGCCGAAATAAAAGCCTTTGCTAGTCGAACTAATCAGCTCATTTTTAGTTCACTGAAAAAAGTTTTTTTTTTGGGTTGACATTCCATCATTATCAATTATGAGAAAGCCTCTATACTGGGTTATTGAGAAAGCTATCGGGAGCAGTATATTCACTTCAATAACGCTTGCCATTCCATTCATTTCACAGTGGCGTGATTAACCTGAACCTAGGGTAACTGCTTAGGGACTTCACTAATCATTCTACGACGTCACTAAACTGTTAGCACTTGAAATGCACTCTACTATGAAAGTTACTTTTGGAAAATCAAGTGTGTTCAGTTTTTTTCGACTCTGCATTGTAGGGTTGAATATATGGCTCGTCCCTGAAAACGGGTTCAGTGTCGGATAATTCGCTCTTTTTTCTGAAAATGTACTTTATTTGACGCAGTACGATTCTCAGGCTCTAAAGGTTCGCACGGTAACATCCACGCTACAATCGTCTTAGCATTTCAAGAAAAAACTCACTTAACAAGCATTTAACATCCTAGTAAAGAGAGAAAGTATAACATCACCGGGCGTACGAACCCGCATATGCACAGTCGTAATTTATAAAATTCGTGTGCAAGCCGAAGTGTAGTTGGGACAAAGTGCTGTGGCTCTTACATGTGATGGTGGATTCACTCAAAATACGGGTGAGACAATACTTTGCAGAAATTGAAGTGTAAAACTTACGTACGCCAAGCCCCTGCATTATATTAATACAATTTACATATATTTGCAGAAGATCCGAGAAAAGCGCTACCATTCTCGACGTCGGAATAATCAAGCAGGACTCTTACGAGAATCATAGTACTGGGATGATTTTTGTAAGGAAAGGCTGAAGGAGACGACTTACATTATAAATCTACTCAAATGATTCAGTTAACGTACGAGCTTGATAAATAAGATTAGTTAGGCTAACGTTCAAACGTCTTCTTGTAGCTTCGTACCTTTAGTGGCTCTGTAGGGATCGTTTTGGCACCGATTTGAGAGAGTCGAAAGTAAAACGTGTAATGATGAGGCCGAAAACTAGCTACTTTTGTGTAGATATAGCCCGCAAACCATGCTTAGTCATTCAACAGAGCAAGTTATCAGGCCGATAAAAAAATGCATTTCTAGAAAGGACGGGAAATCAAGCGCTAGTTTTTCTGCTATTTTCAGTCCACACCAAAGAAAATCAGGAGAGAACAACGCTCGCTTTTTATTAAGCACTTGTGAAAATGGAAACTTTAGGAGTTTTCTACCTCTAACGGCAAAGAGATCTGTAACACTAGTTTAGAGGTGATTCTTCTTCTACTTAAACATGCCAGTGCGAAGGCAGCAGATATAGCATACATTCCCTCAAAAGTGGTAAGAAAGTCAAGGTCACGGAGTGCGATTTGAGACATTTGATCAAGTTAGAGAGTCGTGTCAGGAGTTTTTTGATTCAGAGAGGAGTGAATAGCATATCAAGTAGATAAGAATAACTGTTGCTGCTTTTAATTGAATTTATGTATGAACTCCGAATTTTGAACAAGCAATGAGAAACTTTTTGTTCAAGCTGATATTCTGTCGTCTCATAAGTTGTGGCACGAAAAAAATAAACATTATACTTGTAAACCAGAAGCGATTAAAATTGCATAATTTAAGTACCGTTCAATTGCGCATGGGCACGACCAAGCCTGTTAAAGGTTGGTGGCTGACCGCTAACATAAAGATGTTGAAGAATGAGTGGTGGGGCGAATGTGCTTCGGTGGTGTTGTGGTAGAGCACGCATCCCCAGTTAGGATGAAACGAGAGTTCGATTCCCGCCTTATGCCATGTTTTTGCTCGCCGCTCAAATCTCTTAGAACAGCACTGTTGTGCACTTGATTGTTCTTCGCTGGTATTCTTAAAATATTATACTGCACCTCAATAGATTCAGCTAAAGACGAAGGGCCTGTCCGACTGACGAGGCTGCTCAAGGCCGAAACACATGTAACGGGCTACACAGGGGCCTATAGCAGACTGCATGACATGTTAGCTCAAATAGTAGTTACAAGATGTACGAAAACTTGAATGTGGTCTCATGAAAACACGCGAAACAAGTGGTATAGTGTTCCTTCGATTACTCTTTTTAATAGTGTGTATAGACGCGACGTTCTTCACTTGTTTCAGATTCTTTCATTATGAATGAAGGATTTTGTGTAGATCGCGGGGAGCATTTGTAGAGCTTGACTTGCAGCACGAAGGAAGTCAGTGGCGGCTATCGGGTTCTGAAGCTGTGCTTTTTTCCATACTTTCTAACGCAACTAGAACCACGAAGGAAAATATCATGTGTTTTTTCAGTACTGGTTTTAGGGTTGGTGCGTGGGTTGTAAAATAGAAATGTTTGGTTACCCTCTCGTTGTCAAATCCACATGATCGCAGGTTTCAGTGATCCCAACCTTGTTCACGAGGGCTGACAGCGAAACGTCTACTCGTACATGTCGCAACGACAATTCTTGATAGATTTTGTGCTGCTTTTAGCAATTTGCTACTCCTGTACAAACACAGATGCTTCTGCAAAGCTATTCTGCTTCAACATTCAGTAATACCCTTTACCAAGTGTACTGCATTAAGATCAAGCACTAATTTTCGTTTTGTTTTGATTAGTATTTTTGTGCTAATGCGATGCTATTTGATTTTCTTCTTTGAGGAAATGAAGCCGTGCTAGACAGCACTGCTAAGTCACCCAACAATAAGCTTGTAAAGTAGTCAAATCCTATTTATCTGCCAGCAACGTCTAAATACTCTTTGCTTGAGATGATATCGTCATGAGTAGATTGGCTTTGATTTGTTGCGATAACACCTTACGGCTTCAGTTCGACAATAAATTCCTGGTAAGAAATAGCAATATAGAGCACTTACTCCAGATAATAATAGAACACGTCATTTGTACTCATCAGATATCTTTGTCGGTGGATAGCACATAAAGCTGGTGATCTTAGAAGATACTGACACAAACTTATTAGTTTAGTCTCGAGGCGAACTCAAACGTGTACTGTTACTGTAATTTTGTAGTACTTAATATCAGATTATAACGGATCTTCAATTTCCAACAAATTCTAGGCTTAAATCATATATTTCTGTTACCTGCAGTCTCATCCGATTGACTGCGAAGTGCGATTGCTTATGCAGAATTAGTCACACAGATGTGCAGTGGTTCTTTTTGGTTATCCTGGAACAAGAGAAAAAAGCGATTCCTTGCGCTGCGCAAGGACTTTTCATAGAACTGTCAGTAACCGCTTGGAAGCTTATATCTCTGGCTACTGCGCTACCAATCCTTTTTTCGAAAAGGCCTTTTTATAGCGCTGTAGAATACAAAATAGAATTACGTTTCATGGCGGCTGCGCGCCTTTATTTTTTTCATGCATGTAATTCACATGAAGCAGGAAAAACATATCGACGTGCAGAAAAAGTCCCTTAGTATCAGAGTCATTCATTTTCTACGAAGTTTGTTTCAAAACAAAAAAAAAAGCCCGAACCAAACAAAATAATCGCCTTCACGTGAGGTCCGTCTAGGCGCCACCGATCGGTTACTGTGTTGAAATCGCGGGCAGCCTCCTCCCATCCCCCATCCCACAGAAAGTGAACTGGCCAAAAAAACAATCGGTCGCACATGTGAACTAATCTTGTTCTTTCTTCTGCACTGCAGATAGACGGTTTTTCCAGAAAATGAGCACAGCGTTGGATTCGCGGAAAGTTACGCTATCGAGTGGTCATTAATAGTCTAAATTAAGAGCTCTTCCCTATGAGAAAAATGTGTGTGTGTGTGAAGCACGAATGCATTTTTTCTGTTATAACGCAATTAAAAAAGCTCTTCCATAGGACCAACGAATTTTTTTGAATTGCACAAAACGTGAGCTATTGAAAGATTACTAGTAAACTAAGGGAAGAGTTCTGTCCAGCGAAATATAAGCGAAATACAGAAAGGTAGGTGATACGTGTGAAGCACAATCGTTCTGAAAAGCGGCCACGTAGTGCAGTGGCTGGAAATTTAACCTTTGGAATAATTACTAACTCTTTCATAAGAAGACCCTTTCCAGGGAACTGTTTAGTTCTTGCATATATAACCTAATGACCGACAAAAACCGTACAGTTATTACAGTGATGTCAACCACTCAGAATCTTCCAGCAGTGTATGGGTATTAAGAAATCGGTATTTTGATGTACTAGACATGCTTCCATGGGTCACATAATCTATACAATGACAACTTTTCTAAGTTTATACACAGATAAACCATCTATCTGTGCAGGCATTTGTGTTCATCTCTTCTTCTGCTATCACCTGAGTTTTACTTATCGACGTTAAGTAGTAATCGCGGTACATTTCGATTAGGAAGGGAAAAACCAAAAAATGAGCCTCATTCGCTAGACAGGAACTTTCATAGGAGTGTTAGTAGCCATTCTAAAATCAATTGCCTGGCTACAGTCCTATGTCGCCGGGATTTTAAAAAAACTTTTTTTTGACTTTGTTACAGAAGGCAATTCATTGCTTTACAGACGAGCGTAAATCTTGCCGGATGGAGCTCTTCCTTTAGACTAATAGTAGTCATTCGATAGCGCAATGTTTGCTGATTCCAACGCTGTGCTTGTATCCTGAGATGACTGTTTCTCTGCAACGCATTAGATATGATAAGTTGAATTTGCATTTGCGACCAAGGTGGTCTATGGTCAATTCACGTGCCGCTGGGTAAAGCGGCATATGCGCTGACGCGATGCCGAAAGACAGGACCGGCCAAAGACCACTTTGGATGAGCATGCAAATTCGTCTTATTCTATCTGCTTCGTTGCAGAGAAGCGATCTTTCAAGGATATCAGCGCGGCATTGGAATCAGCAAACACTGCGCTATCGAATAACTACTAACAGTCTAACGAGAAAGCTCTATCGGTCAAGAGATATGAGCGTCCGAGGTTAGCTTCATTTTGATATTTGAGGCGTTTATAAAAGAGTGTTTCAGAAAACCCTTACGTGAGGCTGTAGTCAGAAATCTCAGCTTTCGAATGTTCACTCACGCCCCTATAAGAAGTCCCGAATAAGATCGCTATTTATTTGTCTCCTTATAACAGAAAGGTTCAGCATTCTCCTATGTCACTCGTTTTGTACATGGCGTGATAGTCTCTGACGAAGTCGTCTAATCTTAATTTTAGTCCGTCCGCATTGTTCTCGTCATTCTAAAGTGTTTATTCCATCTTTGTGCTTCTCACACTACTTACATGTTTGTACGTCTATCTACCCATTTTGAGGTTTACCGCAGCTAAAGCGGGCAGAGAAGCTATGTGGCATATCACCCATCACATAGAATACTGTCATAGGCTCCTCTCCGTCGCTCTTCCTACATTTCTCCTCTTTATCTCTCTCTTTTCATTCGTTATAACTAATCATCAGTAGGCAATTGGGTTCTTTTCAGTTGCAAGGGGACAAATAAATACCCGACCTCATTTGCTGGGCAGGAAATTTTCAATAAGAGTGTTAATGATCAATCGAAAGCGTAGGTTTTGACTTAATCTTTATGTGGCCAGTTTTCGAAAGGACCCTTTTTTAACATCGTGAAGTGCGAGATAAACTATGTCACAGACGCGCATATTTCTCGCCGAATACAGCTTTTTGTTTAGACTATCAGTGATCAATCGATAGCGTAATGTTTGCTAATTCTAATACTGTGCTTACATTTTTTTGGAGAGACCGCTTATGTGCAACGCAGTAGGGAAAATAAGTTTCATTCACGTGCGAGAGAAAGGTGATCTCCGGCCAATCCATCGGCCGTTAGGTGAGACTCGACCGGTCTTATGCTAGTGCGAATCCTTGATATTCAACTAAAAACTTACTTCTTCGCCTAAGAGAATAATATTACGTAAAACGTCTTGCTGCTTTCCAGAGAAGCGGTCTTTCCAAATTATAAGCACAACCTTGGAATCAGAAACGACTACGCTATCGGTATGATTACTAATAGTTCAAGGAAAGAGCTCTGCCTGGCTGTAAATATGAGCTTCTGCAAAGCAAAATTCTCCTTCTGTAACAACGTCAAAAAGGGGATCTTTTTGAAAATTGGCCACGTGGTGCTACAGCCAACACTAAACCTCCGAATAATTACTAACACTCCCATGAAAAGTTCCTTTCCGGCGAATGGGAGTTGATATTCATTTGTCCCCTTATAATAGAGAAGAACCGTAATTTGTTCTTGAGCATGACTCAAGAGAATATAAAGGTTAATCAAAAACAAGGAAGTTCATTGAGTTGACAATGCTTAATATCGAATACACAAACTTCGTTTGATATAATCGATCTGTAATAATCTCATTTGTCAGATCGCGATGGTTTTGAAAGGTCCGCTGTGCGAGGTGGAGCGAATTGGGGATCGAATCGTAAGTTGTTTTAACTTGCTCATTTTCTTCGATTGAGAAATCTTCCGGATCTCGAACTTTCTGGTGCTACTTCTCAAAGGCGTCTTTGGTGCTTTTCAATCTCTGAGACTCTTATTAACGGTCGTGCACATTGAATCAGTCGTCTCGTGTCATGCTAATGAGTTCGAGAGTTCAAAGTTATGATCTTTGACAACAATCAAATGTCGGAGACGCCGTTGTGCATGTTAGAATGTCGTTAAACTAAGTAAGACGATTTGGACGATGACCGATGAGAATAATTCGTCAGCGAATGAAATCCTCTGAATGTCAAGTGCGCATTTCTTCCTCCGCAGGAGAGCAGTGTGGAGGTAAGCAGGTTCCGTCAGCGAGCTGAACCCAATGCGTTACTCTGAAGCGAAAGACAGTTTCTGTGCTTTTTGATTTGCACAGTCTT